GTTTAGCTGTAAAAAGTTCCTGTGGTGTAGCGAACTACTCAGATCTTTTTTCAGTCAGGTACTTGTACCCTCCGTGAAGCTACCATATTCAGTTCTGTGCTGGCAAAGGTTTCTATACCAATGTTTCATGCTGCTGCTGCAATGTTGAAGGTTTGTGTTCCTCTTACTTTGATACATGGAAATTGAAGGTAATGAGTGTCACCAAATCCCGCTTGGAAATGGCTAGTTTGAGTATATACCGTATATGAAAACTATCGCACTGACTGCATGCTGCCTCGATCCAGAAGAGTTCACGTGTTTGGACAAAAGAAGTTTAAGTTCTAGTCCCACAACAGATAACGATTTGAGTACGACACGGTAGGCTCCAAATGTTCGTTAGAGCAAGCCCAAGGGTTTAGAAGAATGCTAAGAAATATCGTAGCTCTCCGAATAGTTCGGTGCCTTGCACCTTCTCCTTGCGGTCTTGATAAATCTCCACTGATATGGTGCGCATCCCGCGCCTTGATGAAGAATTGAAAAGAAGTTCCTGTTAGCAAAAAATTATCAGCTGCCAGCAGCGAAGGCGTACAAACTGCGAAGTGACTGATAATATGATCTGCGCTATATTTCTAGTGCCGCTGCTGGGTCTGCCAGACTTACCGCATGAGTGGACAGCGTAGAAACTTGAATTTTCCTGTGAGATTCCTTTTTCTACCGTTTCCAACGTACTTACGTTCAGATTTCGGAAATGGAGTACAATGGAGCAAACTCTGTTTTTCTGAGAGCTCTTATTGACAAGAAGTTTGCGCTGCCCTACAAAGCAATCGATGCAATTGTGTCACACTTCCTCAGGTTTGTATCAAATGCCAATCAAAGAATCACTAACACTTATTGTTTGGGAGCATCAGGTCGATAATTCTGCTCTTTGATGAAACGCTTGCAGGATGAAGAATGACGAGCGTGAAATGCCTGTACTCTGGCACCAATGTCTCCTGGCTCTTTGTCAGCGGTATAAGAATGATTTCAGTCCGGAGCAAAAAGCTGCTATTATGGACCTCATCAGGGTTTGTTAGAGACGGTATTATCACTCTCCCACTAAAGTTTTCTAATTTCAGTATCAAAGCCATTACCTTATTTCTCCTGAAATCCGTCGTGAATTGGAATCAAAGGCAATAGATAGTGAACATGGAGAGCAGATAGTCAGTAAGGTTGACGTTGTTGCTAGAGCAAACGACACCATGGAATTCTGATTTCATACATTTTGGTTTATTTGGTTATAGTTACTTCCATTGGTTCGTTTTATATTGTTGACTGTTGTTGTTGGGTTTTTTCCTGTTGCCCGTACGCTAGTGTAGCGCCTTCAGAGTTTATATCGAACACTCTATCATAGTTCTGCACTTGAAATTGCTATGCTCACAAATAAGCAGATGTATTAAATATGGTATTTCTATGTTTCTAAACAGTTTCATCTTGGTAATACCTCTTCTTTTCGGAAATGTAACGCACTTACCAATGTGCTGCCGCATTTTGGTATATTTTAGAACCATTCCATATTGCAGTGTTTCGTAGAACGGGTTTAAAATCTGGTACCTCTAGCAGAAATGCTTACCAGATGCCAGCTGTGGAGCCGATGTATTCATTCTGTGCGACCATCGGTCTCTTCTGCAGTGGTTCCTCACATCAACCAACGGAGATGGTCAGCTTTTTGCCAATATAATATCATTTTTGCCATATAATTATCACTTATTCCCAGGGCTTTGTCTGATCCAAGCAGTTCTGTGCGCACGGGCAGTCCTCGATCTCTGGTCCGATCGTTGAGGATGCCTAGTGCTTCAGATATGGTTCGCGCTGCTCCAGCTGCTTTGCAACCATACCTCCAGATAATGCGGCTTGATAAACCTATTGGTACGAACCCTTCTTCGAACTTCTATGCGTTTCCAGGTTACATATTTCTGAAAGCAACGTGCGCAGCTGTTGTTCTTTGCGTTGGGGAAATGCTCACCGCCAGAAGCCTCGTACCTTTGTGCGTAAGCCTCAGAGTGCGTCCATACTTTGCGGCAGCGTTTTGTGCCTGTCAGTGTTTGAGCGTTTAGAGCTACTAGGAAAGTATAGGTATCGATCCAGCGTTTTGAGCGTCCACCACCTTTTCGAGGGTTTTGAGCCACTTAGAAGGCATGGATATCGATCACACCTGAAGACGCTGCCAGACGGCTGAATCAATACCCATACTTTACTGGTCGCTCGCGAGGCTGAAAGACGTTCAAATGCTGGTGCAGAGTATTAACACCTCCTCTCCGCACTTCTTGCACATCTTTGTGCAGTTGCTCAGCTCATATTGTATGCCTTTGCTTGTATCTACCGCTTGCATCAACAAAACAAGCCCCTCCCAGCAAACTACCAACAATTCGAAAAAGAATTCGCGTCGAGTTCATCCTGCTAAGATATCCCAAACGCAGCTGTATAGAAAGACTCGATTGATTTGAAATGCGAACCTTCCGAAACTCCTCACTTATTCCGAAAGAATTTTGCATTCGTGATTTGTATTTAGGAACTTGGCTGCTATATTGGCCGTGCACGTGGTCAATCGCTTTAGCTACTCCTGCTGGTCAACTTCCTTCCTTATACTATTTATCACTTTTTGGTGTAGGAGCCATATTGATGCGCAGTGCTGGTTGCGTTATCAATGATTTATTTGATAAGGAATTCGACAAAAAGGTCTGTACAAGATTAAGTTTACTGTAGTTCGGGTGGATTGGTGTAACAAGTAATTCGCTGTTCTGAGTGGTTAATTTCAAGGTCGAACGAACAAAAATGCGTCCGCTCGCATGTGGATCCTTGACGGAGAGACAGGCAATAGCTCTCCTAGGTGGACTGCTCACAACATCGCTAGTTGTTCTACTGCAGATGAACTGGTTCAGGTGACTGCCCATTGAAATGCTCGCGGATTTTAATCAAACAGTGGAACTTCAAACAAGTGCTCATTTGCGAGAAAAACTGAAAGTGTCGTAGAAACTTATCGTAAGGCTGCGTTCATACTTTGCGTCAGCGTACGCCAGCGGCTAGGAAAGTATGGATGTCGATCTAATGAACCTCAGCGTGTAACAGCGTTTTCGTGTGCATTTTTGCTCGAGCTCAAACTGCCCGCGAAAACGGTGGCGTTCGCTTACCTAACTTACTACCTACCTACTAGTCGCTGGCGGTGGCAAACACTCGAAACGCTGCTGTGCGCTTGCATGCGTCCGCGTGCGCTGACCCAAAGTATAAGCGCAGCCTAAGGTTACTTTTTGCTATTGCAAAATCGCCAATAAGGCTAATGTTTTTCCAAAAACTGCTTTAGTTGCTTTATAAGACTAAAGAATAAAAATAAAACCCATCTCTATAAATTGGATAAGAAAAGTGTATTAAGGATTGTAGCAATCAAAATACTATATAAAATCTTATTTAAATCTTATTATTATAATGTAAAGGTTTTAGCGTTGCTGTTGGTTCAGCCTCAATGTTTCTAGTAGTGGGATATCCACTGGCAAAGCGATACACTTACTGGCCGCAGTTCGTTCTAGGTAAGCATTCCTTGAATAATTTATGAAAAATTCAACTATGACTTGTTGCACCTCGTTGGCTCATGACCCCATGATTGAGGAGCAACGTTGTCTTTGCGCTTGTGAATTTTAGAGCCCGGTACGAAAGGGACCAGTTTTTGGATTTTTTTTTTGGATATTCTTTCGCCACATATAATGCTTTTAAGATTACTACTTAGCGCTCGCCGTCGTAGGGTTGCTCTCAATTGCTGTGCCGTTTTCTTGTTCTGTATCACCAGCGGCAGTGTTCCTTCAAAAAAAATCGTGGTTTTTTTGCTTGGTCGAATAACAGAAAATCAGCATCAAAGCAGTCTAAGTCAAAAGCTGGTAAGTATGATGCAGTGATGCTCCTTATCATTCTTTCCTACCTAACCCTAAGATGTTTTGATGGAAGGCGTTTTAGCGGATACGTTTAAGATTGGAGGTCATGAATTTATGTATTATAAATGAATCGAATTAAAAAGGATGTTCTCCTCGTATGGAGACGTGCATGTGTATCGGTTCGTGCCGGGCTCTTTTGAGTGTCCGCGATCATTTTCTGGTTTAACAGCATGGATGGCACATGTCAGGACTCCTGGATACATGTTGTATTAGAAGTGCCACTTACAGTCCATGTTGTTTTCTAGGAGGGTTTAATGGCCGATTTAGGTAGAACTCGTTGCAGGAGCCACACTCAACTGGGGTGTATTGATTGCATGGGCTGAGCTGTTGCCTCAAGAACGGTTTTATACAGTATTACCGCTCTACATCTCTACAGTACTTCATACCGTAATTTACGACACTATTTATAGCCATCAGGTTTATTTAAGTTTTCGCTGCTTTTGACTGCCGTTTCTCGAAAGCTGCTCTCCATCTACTAACGAAGAATCTGTCAGTGATGGGCATTCTTGTCGTAAAGCATCGAGTTCAAACTATACGGTTCTACTCAGACTTTATTGCAAGCGCCATTAAATGCCTCGTTTCCTTGACATTTGATACTTCACTGAAACTACTACTCTGAAAAATCCTTTCATGGGAAGTTAAAGGTCACAGTGTTAGTTCGAGCTAAGATGTGTTACGACATGCCAGCACTGAATGTTCTACGAATGGGGTGGAGAGTGTTTTTGATGATTGTAAGTCCGTGGGGGATGTTCGTGCTTCTTGTTGTGACGTGTACCCTACGATTCTCTTAGTGAACTTCACCGTGTGTTAGAAGGTCCTGAGCTAACGAGGTGTTTCTATGGTATTGTGCTTGCGACAGTGAAATTACTTTGGTTTCGCGGAGTAGACTTTATTGCACGCATCTCACTTAGAAAACTGTAATTGAACTACAGGCGAATTCACATACACGTTAGTGAGAGTTTGTGATTCCTTTACAAGATCGTGTTGTGGTTGGAGAATCTTTAGTTCTTTATAGTGAAGATGGTCACTGCAACATTTATAACCACTGTATGAAAAACTTCCTGCCGAGATGAGTCAGTAGAGTATGAAATTGACTGTAATGATGAGTGTAAACAAAACCGAAATTTTACAAGCGAGTCCTGAGCGGCTTGTTTCATGCTCCATTAATTGCGTGGAACATGCAGCTGGGAAGAAGTTTGCATTCTGCTGATAGCGTTTAGTTTCAGCTTTGTTTTAGGCTGATTAGATAGTCAAATAGGCAGATATAGTCGAAATCATTAGCGTTTGTAGGCTACGGTCATACTCGACGAATTTGGGATACTCATTTTAAACATAGGTAGCGCTTGGTTGCCTACGATTTGACTTATATGCGGTAGCTCTTTCCAAACACGAGTTGCTACCATTCTCGACTTCTCTATTTCGGTGCTGAAGTCCTGTTTGCAACCAGGCGTTTTTTCTGCGGCTCATTATGCTCAAAGCAAAGGCCTACTACCCATCGTCGAGTGTTGCCGCAGCAGTATTAAAATGGATGGGCAATAGCACTTGCTATCAACATGCGTTTTCCAGCATGCCGTTACGTAGTCGAGATGCATGAATATGCTGCTATACCGGGACGACAATTCTCGGCGACCCATGATCTGGATAGACAACCCTCTATCTGAGCTTGTACGCTCAACTAGGTTCGATTCCCTAAAGCCTTGGCTTTTTCGCCTTCGTCAGACCCAGGAAAAATAAATCGAAGCCTGTCCCTGTGAGAGTTCCGCGTGGTTTAAAGACACATGGTACGCTCACACACATTGAGGGTGTATGTGACTATCAGCCCCCCAGCTGTCGATGTGTCGTGGTTTCCCCGCCCGAAACTGCACGGGGTTAGAGTACAGGGCCGTGGGAAAGTCTAATTCGTCCATGCTCCGCCTACCGTTTATGCTAACAGCCGTTCCGCGCGGCGCGTGTCGCGCGCAGCTCTCTTGGCTTTTTGCCAAGTCCTGTAATTGCGCTTTGGAATACAAGTAAAACGCAATTTCCTGATGCGGATAACATTTTAGGTGCTGCAAAATAAGAACCGAAGATGATGACGAGGGCTAGAACTCAAGAGCAACTGTGCTGCTTCTGCAACATCATTCAGAGGCCGCGCATTCCCACAGAACATGACAATAAAAACGGCCTAAGCGTTCCACTCGTTAGTTTAATACAAGCAAAACGCAATTTCCTGATGCGAATAACATTTGAGGTGTTGCTCATGCTGCAAAGTCCGAATAGAAGGTGATGAAGATGACAAAGGCTAGAAATGAAGAACAACGAATGTAGATGTAAATAAACAAAAATGAAAAATTCAAGGAAAGCAAATTAATTGAAATCGCGTGTAAATTTCTGCGATCCGGCGCGAATTCGGCTCCAAAGCCATAGAATACTTTATACTAACGAGTGGGAGCTTAGGCCATTTTTATTTTTCGTTTGTGGAAATGCGCGGCCTCCGAGGGATATTGCAGAAGCAGCACAGTTGCTCTTGAGTTCTGGCCCTCGTCATCATCTTCGGTTCTTATTTTGCAGCACCTAAAATGTTATCCGCATCAGGAAATTGCGTTTTACTTGTATTCCCAGAGCGCAATTACAGGACTTGGCAAAAAGCTAAGAGAGCTGCGCGCGACGCGGCGCGCGGACGGCTGTTAGCATAAAGGGAGTCTGCGCCGCAAGTTGCATTTTGGGCGGAGCATGGACGAATTAGACTTTCCCACGGCCCTGTACTCTAACCCCGTGCAGTTTCGGGCGGGGAAACCACGACACATCGACAGCTGGGGGGCTGATAGTCACATACACCCTCAATGTGTGTGGTGAGCGTACGATACGAGCGTACGTAAACTGATCCTATCTTACGTTATAATAAGGGCTTTTATTTTTGTAATTTGCAGCATCTCCCTAGATGCCTTATTCATTTGCTGGGGAACCATGATTTGTCTTTCCAGGCTCTTACGTTACAAAGCCGAAACGTCAACCAGCGACATCACTCCGACATCCTGATCATGGCTGGGGTATTACACAGAAGAAAATTCTGTTCATAGTACGCGTCTGGTGTTTCTTTTGCACACCATCATTCATTCGCAATGTTCCGCCACCAGTCGTCTTTAACGAGGAGCCTTTGAATGACCGAATCTCGTGAAACTAAACTTTCACAATTAACAGGAGTCAGGGGTCCTTAGCCACAAACGTAAAATGAAAACTTCTTGAGTTTTCAACATTTGGACGGCTACAACTTCGTTCGAGTAGCGGCCTAAAGCGAATCGCTAGGAAAGGTTGAAAACTAGAAGGTTCGCCTTTCTTGAAAACCACAGTGTTTTGCTCCAAGTCCACTACTTGCGCCTGGCGTCCAACTTTGCCCATAATTCAGCGTAATTTCTCGTGGTAACTTTAAAAGCGGTAACTGCGCGGCGCAAAGACGCTATCATCGTTATTTAAAATTTCGAAAACTAGTAGGCTACATCGTTCTGAATCGATTTTTGGCCCGCTGGATGTCCTTGTAATGATCTGCTGGTTGGCGCTTCGCTGCTGTAGTTGAGAATAATATAATTTATCACGTTATCTGATTAATCTGCGTCTTCTGTAGCACAACTCCAGCACCTGCTCCTACTCTTCAGTCGCCTATTTCACACGTTCTCAGTGCTATTTACCCTTGACTCATAAGAACCTCCTCTGATGGGATCAAATACACCTCCTCGCCTAGGATTCCTCGACGCTTGCTTTATCACGATGGGAGAAGCTTCATGGATCATACCATCCTAATATACTCGAGCCATTTCAGTTAGAGCTATTAGCTTTTGTTTAGCAGTGTGAGTAAGAGCTCTATTCCGTCGGGATCGGACCCTCTCCAAAACTACCCTTTTCTGTTTCGCTCCAGCTTCCACTTGTCAATGCATCGCAAAAATGAAAAAAAAATCGATAAGAAGCAGCCCATTTCAAGTGGTGTTCAAGAACGATTAGATATATGAAAAATAACTAGCTGATGTAACGGGTCGCCGAGAATGTTGGCCTTTGCTCGTAACAAGCACGCGTCGCTGAATTCGCTTTCCATCCAATGCTTAAGCTGATTCGCCTAGAAGCGAATATCAAGGGGCTTCATATATCCCAATGTGGGCTATCTCTTTTTTTCGTATTATGGAAGCCGTTATGGCTACTGAACATAATCTTGCTACAGGACTCACGTTCAACTGGGGTGCGCTTCTGGGCTGGTCGGCCATTCAAGGGTCGCTCAGTTCCACTCCGATTACCCTCTACATAGCTGCCCTTCAGTGGACTCTCCTCTACGATACTATTTACGCACATCAGGTTATGATAACTATTGTTGGAAGCATGTTATCCTTCCGTTTCATCCCAAAGTCCTTGGTTATTTTCTAATTCAACGCTTTTCATTTAATCGGAAGAGAAGTCCGTTCACTTGGACTTCTGCATAGTGCACGATCATGTTCTTGTCAAGTTTGTTGTGACTGCATGTGCACGTAACCACCTCTATGCATGCACCTTGTCAGCTTTTTTTGTCGTTTTTTGAAATGGCACAGCATGTGGTGTGAGCTACCCCTTCGTGCTTACTTCTTCAGCATGTTCATGCACCAGTTCTGAACACCTTCATTTTCAGGACAAAACAGATGATATTATGATAGGGGTGAAGTCTACTGCGTTACGATTTGGAGACAATACAAAGCCTTGGTTGACTGGTTTCGGCACAGCGGCTATAGCAGGGCTTGGACTCACAGGATATATTGCGGAACAAACATGGCCATATTATCTGGCTCTAGCCGGTTTGTAGTGGCAGTTTTTTTCCTGTCTTTGATTTTCCCAAGTGTTAGCTGACACCCAAGGCGTCTTGATCTGACGAGTGTGTTTTCAGGTACTGCAGCTCAGCTGGCATGGCAAGTTGGTACTGTCAACATAAATGATAGCAATGACTGCTGGAAGAAGTTCAAATCCAACCAATGGTTGGGTGCAATCCTATTTGCCGGAATCGTTGCCGGAACCTATCTTAAAGAAGAGAAAAAAGATTCACAGATTATAGAAATGCATAGCGACGAGTCCAATGAATTTTAGACTCTAACTGTTGAATCGAGTTCAGAGAGTTGATATGACAAGTGTGGCGATGTAGACAAAGCAGACGATATGAATGCAATTCATTAAAACGAACATGTGAGTGTAAATGGTTTACAAATCGTACCCGAAAACAGAGAAGAAACTGGGGAAAAACAACCGAAGTTCACTTCAACAAGAGATCATTGAGCTTGGATGGCACATAGTCTGGCGACAAGCCCGGAAAGTTGCAACAGAGATGAGAGTCCTTCACTGATGCGCATATGGCACAATCCAATCTCCTGAATAAGGCAGCTAGAGATTGGCAATTCGAACATTTGTAATTCCAAAACACGCAAACCTTCATAAACTCCATTTTCACGAACTCTGGTAAAGAAACAGTTTTTGATACGCGGAACATGTTCGAGATAATATCCTCAGGAGAGTAGCCCATTCTGTAATAAGTGTGATCATTACTGAGAACGTCACAGTTCCACGTTTGATGAGCCGTGTTATAAGAGAGTTTGGAGTGCGTTCATGGTTGCTAAGAATCAACGGCGAACGAACACTCGAGGTGCAGGATCGATACCCAGGGTGCAACATCGCGATGTGTAGTATGGTGGTGTCAGTGCGGGAAGGAGGTTCACGGCACGACCCCCCCCCCCTCCCTCTCTGAACACCTTCCAAAGCCATGTGGAACGGGGAAAATCACGAAAAGTCAACAACCAAGAAAAAATTTTCCCAACGCGGCAAATTTCTCTCAAAGGCACATACGACCCCTCCCCCTCTCCCAACAACGACCAATGTGACCCCCCTCATGTGCTTAACACAAC